ACAGACAGTCAGACAGACAGACAGATGTTTTCTATCTGAATGTTGCAGCTGTTTCATCGTCTGTCGTCACTCACAGTATCCCACCATGCACTGGGACAGTAGCATCACTCATCAGCGACATGTCCCATCATGCATTGTGTCGCAGGGGAACAGCAGACGGAGAGAACCAGATAACAACAGACTTCTGTCTGACACTAAGCCGCGCTGAGGCCAGTTTTCTACCAGTGGTGGGAAACGTCTAGAACAAGTCCAATAATCGGCATCGATACGCTGAACAACACATATGACCGTCTTAGAAACACGAGGGTCATCCATCTGATGAGTTTTAACAGCAGCGACACGATTAATAGTAATCACAGGTTCTGGTTAGCATCCATGCAGTCCAGTCTACTGGATCTGGACAGGGCTGATGGAGGACACCAGCAGAGGCGCTGCAGGTCCGTTCGCTCTCCTGAAGCTTCGGCAGCTTCATATTGAAACGTTTTCTACCAACAGTGAAACTCTTCCATCATCACTGTTCAACCTGGTTCTGCCTGGACCCGGTCACGTGTCTCCTCCAGGGCTTCAAAGGAATTCTTCCATCAGATCTGCACCAGTCGGTCCCTCACAGATCTCAAAATCCCATAATCTTCTAAACCCCACAGAACGACAGAAGAGCTCTCCTGTAACGGTGGGAATGAAGGAGCCAATGAGCAGACTGACGAATGACTCTGGGGATGTTTGCTGCGCAGACTCAGTGGGTCCTGGGTCTCCCCCTTCAGCTGGAGGTCCTGTCGAGCCGGACCGCCCTCACACCTCAGCTGAGCCTCCAAACTCTCCATCTAGCTGATAAGACTCTCCGGGGAAACCCAGTTCAGTGAGACCCCGCTGTTAACCGGCTGCAGTCACTGTGATGCCACTCAGGTCGTGGACGTCGCGTCTGCGTGTTTCACGTTCACCTGAACTGATCCGGGTAAAACAGCTGCCTGTAGTTTGGGGAAATACCCTGAAATACAAGGTGCTAACAGGTTTTAGGTGGATTGAATTACTGCCGAATTAAAGGGCGACTGAAACAAAAGCACCACATTGTTGTCGATATTTTCCACCATTTGAGAATAAAAGGCCGCAGACGGAACCCGGTTAAAACGGCTGTTTTTAAAATGAAGCTCGGTGTCAACACAGCAGGATTTTGTTAGCTAATGCTAACGAGCCGTGGCAGCACAGAGTTAGAACCTTAGAAATCATCGGTACCAAGACACGGACCCCCTCACCGCATTATAAACCAATAATTATTCATATTTTCATCATGAATCATGTTGTATTAGTTTCTCAGAAGCTGCTGGGACCCGAGGGAGCGGAACTTACTGAGCTAACCGGCTAGCGGTCAACCAGGAAAACGCCCAACGGCTAACCGTCCAGACACGGAGGTTTACCGGCTGCCACACAGCCAGGAACCCGCCTGGAGGAGCCACAGACTGGGCTTCGTTGTTCTGTTTAACGCCGTCAGACACACAAACGCTGCGATGCGCACAGAAACACAGCGAAGCGTAGCTAGCCGTTAGCCGCGTTAGCTTAGCCGCGGCTCACTCACACATAGATGATGGACATGAAGTGCATCAGCCACAGAACCAGGAACAGGATGAAGCCGAACACGGCCAGTCCCTGCATGGCCAGGTCCAGCAGGGCCATGGCGGGCCGGCGGGGTCACACTGGCTCGGATGGAGTCGACCGGCTGGCCGGCAGCTTCGGAGCGGGACCAGCGACAGGGTCCGGCTCTAGGAGCGACGGGTTCGGCGTGTTCAGGCCCACGATCCGGCCTCCGGCTGACAGCGGAGGACTGCAGGAACCAGTCCGGGTCAGGAGCTCCGCTGGCGGCACTCAAAGACCAGGCTCGGCCTGGTCGTGCGGGTGTCCGGGTCGCGGTGCGAGTCTCGGGGTTTGACAGTCAGCAGACCGGCCGACGGTCAGCTGACCCACCGGAGAGACGGGGGAAGCACCGAGTGCCGCCCCCGCACCTCTTCAGAATAAAAGCTCTGCACCGCGTGTCCTTTGATGTGCTTTTACTTTGTAGAGCATGAACACTTGTTCCGGTTCTGACTGGGCTGTTTTAAACACTTGACTGTTATTGTCCGTTTTGTACGTCAGATAAAAATCAATTAAAACTGAACTGATGAACACGTTGACTGTAAAATAAACAGCAAATAACGTCCACTTAAAGAAATGTGTTTTTAAAAACACTAAATCAGTTCTTGAACAATGTGTGGACTCTGTTAAAATCAGTATTTTAATCAGCTGAAGTATTTGCCTCCGTTATTTCCCCTGTTGTTGGTTTTTACATTTAGTTTTCCGCCGTCTATTAAGTGTTTTTCTGGTTCCTTTGCTGTCAGATTTTCACCATTTCTAAAAAGGTTTTTGTTTGTTTGTTGCTCTTTTTATGATCCAGCATTGACTTTACTGTTAGTTTGAATCTACGTGCTGTCAAGTCACCTTTATTGATCTGCAGGTGTAACCAGCAGCTGCAGTGATCACACACTGGCCTGCTTCACATGGAGGCTGACGTATGGTGGTGAAGAGCACTATACACACATTATACAGTCCCATATGAATAAATAGTAAAGTTAATGATGTAGAAGACGATGTAAAGTATTGGTGTCCTTCATCTGCTAACACACTAACACAAGCTGCTGTTTCTCTCCTTTAACTTTACGACGGCTTCTTATTTCTGACCGGCTCCAGTAAACCAGTCAACACAGTGAACTGATTTAAAACAGAGCTGCTTCTCTGCTTCGTCACCACAGAACACGAGTAACTGGATCCAGCTTCAGCTCATTTAAAGACAACACTTCCTCCACAGACAGCTTAACAACTCGTCAGTTTCCTGATAAGCTGCGGGTGACTCAGTTATTCCTCATAGTTTCGTGTCATGGATCAAATCATTCTCCGTTTCATCACTGACTGATGGAGGCGTCTGAGAAGAGCTGCAGCCATCCACCGATCAGTCATCTCCTCTTCATCTCCAACTATTCTGATCCTCTATTAATCAGTCTGAGTCATTTTTAATCATATCAGTCTAAATTCTTCTTCAGTGTGAATATTTTCTGGCTTCTTTCTTCCTCTGTGACAGTTGGGGAGCAAAGCCTGATCCATATTTTCACAGAACAGCCGATCAGTTCATCCAGGAAATGATCAGAAATGACGGCAGATGTTTCGTAACAGCCTGGAGCTGATCTTCAGACTCATTGATGTTACTGAACATGAAGTCTTTGGATCCGTAACAACATTACAGGAGCTGGTTCGCCGGGTTTTGGAAAGAAAACCAGAAACAACTTCACAGGTGTGAATTTACATTTAAAGCTGAACACGCCGACTCCACTGAGTCTGACACAAAGTGAACTCAGAGAGACCAAACACAAGCGTTCTTCACCATTTAAAGGTGTTTCATCGACTAATCGATCCAGAAAACGACAGACAGTAAAACTAATCGTTACCTAGTTCTGAGTATCACTGAGGTTTTAAATGCAGTGATTCCTGTGACCAGCAGGTGGCATCATCAGAGCAGGCGACTCACCTGTGCAGGTGTTCAACAGGAAGCTGTCAGTCATGAACACCTCTGAAACCGTCACACTGCTGCCTGAGAGGAACTCCAGCTCTTGTTTTAAAGACGATAAAAAGTTTTCTGAGAACTATGAACAATGGAAAACGAGACGTGATTAATTAATCAGCTAAATGATTCTACTTTTGGGGGGTAGAACATTAAAACCTGTTTCCCAGATTATCACTTCTTCTTGAAATCTTTTTTAAAACTCAGCTGTGATGGTTCGGGTGAACTCTAATCCTACCTAAAAACCCAACTCACGTCTAAACAATGTGAACTTAAACTTTGCCACATAAACGATTGTTTTTAAAAAACTTCTGTTAAACTGACGTCACGACACAAACCTGAAATAAACTAGAAAACAACTAAAGTAAAGCTTGATGTGAAACATCAGGTTAGTTTGGATCTTCTTCAGAAGCTCCGTTAAAACGCTGAAAGCTTTCTGAACTTCAGCCACAGATGAACTCAACAGCTTCACACCACAAACACAAGCTCAGAGTTAAAACGTTTATTGGTTCTCTGGGTGCAGCTGACGGCCACTCGACCACGAACACTCGCCGTTCTCCTTCCAGCTCGCCTCCTGCGTGTCGTAAACCTCCTGTTGATCACAATCGCTGATCAATAATCGGCTGCGTCCATCAATCGATCGATTGGCTCGAGGCTCTTACCTTCTTCCAGATGGGCAGCTTGGCCTTCAGCTGGCTGATGCCGTGCTGGACCGCCTGCTGGCCGTCGCCACGGTGAGGAGACGAGATTGCCATGGCGACGCTGGCCTCGCCCACCTTCACCCACCTGAGGGGGGAGACCACAGGTGAGAAGGAGCTTCAGGTAATAAAGAAGCTGCATCTCTCAGAGGAGCCTCGTTGATCTTCTGCTTGTAGAAGAAACCTGAGAAACATCAGCTGAGTCTGTGTTCTCCACTGATGTTTCCTCATCACCTGCTGCCATGAACAATAACCTCTGATTTCCAGGAGCTTCAGTAGAAACCAGCTGCTGCAGCTCCGGAGATCTCCATCAATCCCAGTTGGACCCGTGACTGGTTCTGCTGGAACCTGCTCATGTTCTCAGCTAACGGACAACCGTGGTCCAGCTGCTCACGTTGGTTCTGATGATGACCTGAACTCTGCATAGAAAGGAGACCACAGGTTCTCTGGAGCTCTGCTACTCAGATCTCTGCAGGGTTCATCAGGTCAGCACCAGAACCTGCAGACAGGCGTCTCATCACACTGTGGACACACACCAGTCACTAGCATTAGCATTAGCGTCTCACCCCAGCCGGTGGTGGATGCAGATGTGCGTTACGGTTGGCCAGCGCGCTCTGATGTCATCACACAGCTTGGTGAACTCTGATTGGGCCATGAGCTCGTACGCCTCATATTCCAGACCAATCACCTTCCTGCCCTCCACCTGATCCTCACGAGTCGTACCTGGGCGCGCACGCACACACACACACACACACACACACACAGACTTGGACTAGATGTTTGTCTTCCTTCAGTATTTGACCTTCTGTCAGTCAGTGATGAACTCCTGTGTGTCAGGAGGAAACACGTCTGAACCTTGAATAACTCAACAGATGCATAAATGATGAGTCAAACCTATAAAAACTGAAATGGCTCCACAGGAAGCGCTGCTGACGGCGTCCACCACTTCCTGGACGGACAGCCTATCACGGCTCAGCTTGAAGACGTCTCTCGGCTCCTCCGACATCTGAACAGAAAAACACGTCTGTCTGAGAACGAGTCGAGCCTCTTATTGATCTGTGATCGATCAGAAGCCATCGATTACCGTTTATCCTCCGCTTAGCGGCGGCACCACGGCGACCTCGTCTCCGTCCGCCAGAGTCACCACCTGGTCGCCGACGGCAACGTACTGCTGACGCACCGCCAAGATCACGTGATGCTGCAGCGCCGCCAACCTGAGACACGAACAGCACTCTGAGCACGTGTTCATCACGTCTGAACTTCTGTTTGGTGACGTGTTTCCATGTTTTGAGGAGGTTCTCTAATGTTCTGTGATGTGCTTTTGCGACATGGATTGGTATGTTTTTCTGATGTTCTTCTGACGTTGTGTGATGGTTTCCGTGCTCTCGTCACATGTTGTAACGTGTTTCGTGTACGTCTGAGCAGGATTTGACATGTTTCATGATGCGTTGTGCAACACCTTGTCCTGATGACGTTTTTCTGACGCTGTGTGACTTTTTTTTTGCGACATCTTTATTTGCGTTTGTACCTCGGGTGTCGCCGTAGCAACAGCGTCCAGAGGTCGCGGCTGCTGATTGGTGTCGGGACGTCAGGAAGCTCCTCCTCCTTCAGCCCGGTCAGCTCCACGCTCTGAGCGAAGTACAGCACGAGCACCTGAGGAGGAAAACCCTTTCACAATAAAACGCCCCTTTAAAGACGTCCGCTGAGGATGAAAACTTTAAAAACTTTCTACGTCTGGTTTCAGTCGCATGTAACAGTAACGGAGGCAGAACCGAACCCCGAGACTAAATAAGCTCCAGTTATTCAGCCTTTTCCTGGTTGTGGCTTCAGATCGGTTCGGATCAGATCAGATCAGATCAGGTCGGATCTGATCGGATCGGATCAGACTCTCTGAGGTCATAACAACAGAACGACTTCACGGAACCAGAACACAGAAAAAAAAGAGCAGTTCTTATAAAACTGGATCAATCTGAGTAGTGAGAAGAACACGAACCCAGTTCTGTCTCTGAACTGATCAACTCGTATGAGTCTATTGATCGATTTATTGAACCTCCTCGTGCGGCTCACGAGGTTCAGTGTTTCCGGTCGGCCGGTCCCGGGTCCCGGGTCCCGGGTCCAGGCTCCAGGCTCCAGGCTCCAGGCTCCGGCCGGCCGGTCCCAGACCAGCTACTGGAGACACGAGACCGGCTCCAGCTTTCTGCCGACAGCGACCCAGGAGTGACTGTTCTGTCGGACCGAGCCCGTCCGCAGCTCGGCGGCTCCTCATCACCTGCCGCTGCTGTTACCTGTACAGGTGTGTTTAGACACCGGGAGCTGAAACAAGACGCAGGTGAACCGAACAGGTTTCAGGAGACTCACCTGCGCAGTCATGAAGACCCGACTGTTTACCGCAGACCGGCGCTTCCTGCTGCGCCCTGATTGGCTCCCGCTTCTTCTTCTGCGGGTTTTATTGCTGTCGAACAGCAGCGCCTCCTGCTGGACGGAAACAGGAAGTGAGTCAATAAAGCAGAAGAGATGAGCTGAATGACTGTCAGTAGATCAGGTCATCACATGATGACATGTGATACTGACGTGATGAGCTTCTCGCGGACTGGACTTTTCATTTATGGCCTTTATTCCGTGGAGACAGGACTGAGGAGCAGAGGGCATGTGGGTCAGCCTGCTCCACATGTGTACTGCTTCAGAACTGTTCTAGACTTCATCATCCTTTTGTCTTCTGTGAGAGCCGTGCAGCTCCTCACCTGTCCGTGTTCACCTGTTGCTAGCTCTGCTGACCCTGGTGGGCTTCAGCAGACGGCTGATGTGTTGAAGCGGCTTCAGAGTTCTGCTGTCTGAGGCCCAGTCACATCAACCACTGAAACACCAGAACCACCACGAGTCTGTCTGCAGGCCTCAGATCTCCTCTGTTGTCCAAATATTATCTGATTCTGGGTCAGAACCAGCAGGAGTATTTCCATCCATCATCTTTGATTTCAAGGTTCTTTTACTAGTTTTTAAATGTCTTAACGGCCTTGTGCCGCCTTATTTATCTGACCTGCTTTTACCGTATCGACCCTCGTGGATCCTGAGGTCCTCTGGCAACAGCCTTCTATCCGTTCCAGTAGCCAGAACCAGAACCAGAACCCACAGTGAGGTGGCATTCAGCCACTACGGCCCCACCTGTGGAGCAGCCTGCTGGAGAGCCTCAGGACTGCAGAGACTGTGGATGTTTTTAGAAGAAGGTTAAAGACGCACCTTTTTAATCAGGCTTTTAATTGAACTTTTAAATTCTTTTTACATTCTCATCATGCATTTATTTATTTATTTATTTATTTATTATCTTATGTATTTACTCTTTTAACTTTCATCTTATCTTACATCGGGCCTTTTATTCTTTAAAGTTGTTAGTTTTTAGCTCCAGTGTTTCCTGAGGGGGGTCCTCCACACTGGCGCTGGGTCCGGTCTGCTGATGGGGGTTCTGTCTGCGGGTCCCTTTGGCCCGGCTGGTTGGGGGGCTCTCCACCTCGGTGTGGGGATCCCCCTGTCTGCCAGGTCGGGGGTCCAGGTGCCGGCACCCGCAGTGGTCATGGTCTGCGAGTCCCCCCAGTGTGGACGCCCCAATGGGAGCGTTTCCCACAATCCTCAGAGCCATGCCTCCCTATGGTCAGTGGTGAGAGAGAGAGAGAGAGTGTGTGTGTGTGTGTGTGTGTGTGTGTGTGTGTGTGTGGAGGGATTTCCTTGATCATTTTTTTAAATGCTGTAAAGCATTTTGTGTTGCCGTAGTGTTTGAGAAGTGCTTTAAAAACAAAATTTGATTTGATTTGATTTGATCTCTACACCTTAATCCTCACCAGGGTCATGGGGGGCGGAGTCTATCCCAGCTGACTCAGGGTGAAGGCAGGTTCACCTGGACAGGTAACCAGTCTATCACAGGGCTACACTTAGAGACAGACAACCAAGCACACTCACATTCACACCTACGGACAATTTACAATCACCAATTAACCTCAGCATGTTTCTGGACTGTGGGAGGAAGCCGGAGAACCCGGAGAGAACCCACGCTGCACGGGGAGAACATGGAGACTCCACGCAGAAAGATCCCGGGTGTCCTCACCGGGACGTGAACCGGCGACCTTCTAGCTGTGAGGCCACGGTTCTACCTACTTGAGCCCAAAGTTATAAACTTCTTCAGAAACGTGTTGGATCTGTACTGATTATGAGCATTAATGGGATTTCTCTCTTGCCTCCTCTTCTCAAGTCCACCACAATATGCTGTTATCTTCTTGGATCCGTTTGGCCCTCGGTCCAGTGAAGGCTCCTCATTTCATCTAATGTGGATTTGAAAGTTATAGATGCAGCTTTATGAGTCTAACATGGGTCCTGTCCAGTTTAGCTTCTTGTTCTCTGAGGACTTCTTCTTTCCTCTCCGTGGCGTGATGACATCTGTCTGACCTTAACTCTGAAGGACTCCAGCTGCTGTTTGTCTTTCATGTCTGATGTCCATCATTCAGTCTTTGACAGCGTCCATTCTGACCACGTTTTAACAAATGAGCATTCTGTAGCTTTTACTTTGAAAACCCGGTGCAGGAAGTGTTCGCTGCTGACTGAACAGCTTCCTGTTGGCGTGAGCCCGGAAGTCCACGTCACTCTCGGGACGGAGAGATCAGAACCGGACCGGCTCCGACAGAACTCCGGCTTGACGGTTTACCTTCGTGATTCTCGACCCAACATGGCGGACGAGGCCACGCGCAGGGCCGTGTCGCAGATCCCGATGCTGAAGACGCACGCGGGGCCGCGGGACCGCGCGCTGTGGCCGCAGCGGCTGAAGGAGGAGTACCAGGCGCTGATCCGGTTCGTGGAGCAGAACAAGGCGGCGGACAACGACTGGTTCCGCCTCGAGTCCAACGCGGACGGCACGCGCTGGACCGGCACCTGCTGGTTCGTGCACGAGCTGCTGCGCTACGAGTTCCGGCTGGAGTTCGACATCCCGGTGACGTACCCGGACACGGCGCCCGAGGTGGCGGTACCGGAGCTGGACGGGAAGACCGCCAAGATGTACCGGGGCGGCAGGATCTGCCTCACCGACCACTTCGCGCCGCTCTGGGCCCGGAACGCGCCGCGGTTCGGCCTGGCGCACCTCATGGCGCTCGGACTCGGACCGTGGCTCGCCGTGGAGGTACCGGACCTGATCGGTAAGGGGCTCGTGGTGCACAAGGAGCGGCCGCGCGAGGCGGCTGAGTGACGTCACTGAACCGAACACCTGGACACCGGAACCGGAGCTTTAAGAAGAATCAGTAAGGTCATTTAACATTTGGACTCTGAAGATGAAGGAGGTGGAACATCTGGGCTGGTGCTGGTTCTGTGTTGAGCTCAGGGAGGAACACGTGACCCACATGACTGATGAGAGGACACGTGTTCGGTCCAAACGTCACTGTGAAGATGGAACCTGAACTTTCAGCAGGTTGACTTCTGTAAGAAGGAAGCTGATGAAGTCCAGCTGGTTCTGCATGTGTTGGTTCAGCAGCTGGTGTCTGATGATGTTTAGATGATTACAGATGTTCTGTTGAGGACAAATAAAGACAGACTGTGGCTCAGCTCCTCTTTCATTGGTCACTGACATGAACATGTGTTAGTAATGAGGCAGGTGTGTTCAGCTCAGACTTTATTGGTTCTGCTGCAGCTCAGACACAATAAAAACAGTAAAAACGAATCATCACGCTTGTTCCTTCGTGGCTCCGCCTCCTCTCAGTAAACTTGGATAAGCTCCGCCCATTCATCCACAGGCCACACCCCATTTTCCTGCACGTTGCTAGGCGACGACTTCCAGTCCCAGCTCCTCACCGGGACACTCCAGGTGGCGCCGTAGTTCGCCGTCACGTAGTCGAGCGTCTCACAGGGAACGCGAACTTTCAGCTCGAGAAGCTCCGCCCAGCAGAGCGAGAAACGCGGGAAGATGTACCTGAAAGCAAAAGATTGACAGCAAAAGGCAGAAAACTTTATGTCCAAGTGAAAGCTGTCCAAAGCAGATGCACGACCCCCAAACTACTGACGCCTTCACTGTAGAAATAAATGAGCTGAAATAATAAAACTTACTTGAACTTTCTGCCGCTCTTCGCCTGCGTCCCTCCGTTCCAGAAGACGTCTCCGTCCTCGTAGAAGAAGAAAATGTCCAGTTTGACGCTGTTGCTCTGAAATGAAAGTTCCAGACTGTCCTCGACCTGCACTTCAAAATAAAAGACATACCATCAAAATAAAACACATCAGCTTCAACATAAAGTGATCAAGCCTCCAATTTCAAAATAAAACATCAGTTTCATTGTATAATACATATTCATTCAAAAATAGAATGAAAAGTTACTCAGAATAAAGCATATAGTGTTAATGAAATACTACGAGTAAAAGTGAAGAAGAAAAATATTCCTGTAATTAAATTCATTAAAAGTTTATCCTATAGGTTGTGAGAAACTAGAAAAAAAGGAAATCAAGTTTTGACCTTCCCAAACTTGTGCTTGAGTGACAGGCCGGCGTCTCTGAACGCCGTGATGATGTCTGGCCTGAAGTCTGAGATGAAAATCCCGATATCAACGTCACGGCTGTACGAGATAATACTGCACTGCCTGAACCAGCCTGCAGGGGGCGAGAGACACCCACACAGGCAGAGACACAAAGAGAGACAGAGAGAGCTTAGCATGTTATATAACATTAAAACTGGGATGTTAGCATGTTATATAACGTTACCCTGGGATATTAGCATGTCAATGTTACACTGGCATATTAGCATGTTAACATGTCAACGTTACACTGGCATGTTAGCATGTCATAACATTACACTGGGATATTAGCATGTCAATGTTACACTGGCATATTAGCATGTTAACATGTCAACGTTACACTGGCATGTTAGCATGTCATAATGTTACACTGGGATGTTAGCATGTCATAATGTAACACTGGGATATTAGCATGTCATATGTGTTGTACTGTTAGCATGTTACCCAGACAGGTGCCACTGCTGAGCCAGAACGGGATTTCGAGGCGAGCGAGTGTTTGAGCAGCTAAGTGAAGCAACGACTTCGCTTTCCTCCTGAATTCCACGGCAGCTGCAGACGAGTCGTCAGGGTAGAGCTGCATTCACACAGAGTGGAGGGAGAAAAGTACACGGCTCGTTTTTAGGATTCTTTCCTTCCTTTACCTTGAAACTGTTTTTTATTCTCATGTTTGGTCAGACCTGCAGGAAGTTGCGGGCGTCACGGTAACGGCACTCCAGGAAGTGGGCGTGGCGCTGCTGGTGTAGGAAGCGGGTGAGGTTCAGTGGGATTCGAACATCGAGGCCATCAAGGACCGTGAGGATCAGCTCCGGCCTGCAGGGGGCGACACACAGTTCAATGACACCACAGAGTGTGTAAAGATGGCCGTCACCACGGTGACAGCATCAATCGGTTTGTGTATGACTGTTTAAATTTAGAATTTGGCCGTGGGTTTGACTGTGGTTGCATGTGAAGGATCTGACTGAGAACTCAAGAACACTACATACAGTAGCAACCTGTCAGTCACACTGTAGCTCCGCCCCCAAACATTCTACTGTCTATTGTCCTCGAAACGGGACAATAATTTCCTGAATGAGCATCACGTTGTGTTGAAGGACACATGTACGCAGCGACTGAGACCAAAAAACTCAGTGGCTGAGTACAGGCCCAATGAGAAGGAAACCCTTCTCTCATCTATACAAACACACTTCCTGTTGCAGCCTGAGGCGCCCCCTGCTGGCTGTTAGACAGAATGCAGGTCAGTTCAGCTTATGGTCATTCAGATGTGAAAAACCCTCATTTTTATATTCTGTGTCCTGTTTTTTTCTTTTTACAAACCTAAGGTGGTATGACAGGATACTGTCACATGACGCCACAGACATGCATCATGTGACATGAACATGTATGTCGAACCTGTCGTAAGCTCCAGCGTGGCGTCCGTAGTCCAGCAGCTTGAAGGGAGCGAAGCTTCGGTCCACGTTGGCTTTAAGGCGTAAGGCTCCGTGCCACAGGTAGTTCCCGCTGCGCTCGTACAGGAACACCACCTGGACCAGAGACATCCAGGACAGCAGTAGAGCAACCTGCACACACGCCAACAGGAAACACCTGGACACAAAACCCTGCTGTGGCGCCACCTGGCCATCAGGTGGCTGCTGGGAGCGTCTGACTGGTTGCTGCTCGGCATCGGCTGATTATTGGATCTAGATTCAGAAAAATGCTGAATATTGGGATCATAAGTTTTGTTTCCAGTAAATAAGTTATGTAAAAATGAGCGAGTTTGCCTCTAAACATAAGTAAAGGACACATTTAACCAAAGCTTTGCGTTGAGTTTGTTACATGCTGACACCAAGAAATGCATTTTTAATGCAAATACACATCAGTTCTGAATATGGATTATCAGGCTCCTTCATTACTACCTTCCTACTAAAATAACCTCATCAGTCGTCTCCTCGCTGCTACAGAACGAATGCAGATGCTGTCAGACTGGTGCGCTATACGCGACAATGTGGCTGATCAGCTGGCTTCAACAGCAACTACCAAAAACATAGAAACCAATCAGGCAGAAGATGAAGGACCTGCTGCACACCTGCTGCACACCTGGATGTTCGACAGGCTCTAAACCATCCCCTGGGTCCAGAGACTGTCACCTGTCTGCAGGTGTTTCCGAGTCACCCTGCTCTCTGGCCCCACCCACCTGGATGATGTAACTATGGAGGCGCAGCAGGAAGTGCAGAGGGATCTCCTCTCCTGATAGGGTGTCCAGACTGGCCAGTCGCGGGTCCTCCCCTCGCAGCTCCAGCAGCTCGAAGCCTTTCTGCTCAGCAGCCAATAAGAAGCCAGGCTGAAAGAAACAAACAACATTCACCTGGAAAAAATGCAACCTTACAGAATTTACCACAGATTCAGTATGAAAGCTGTCTGTGACTCACGTCGTACTTCCACAGGTTGGCGTGCAGAGCAAAGGATGTGATTGGCCGGCCGGTGCACAGAAAGCTGCAGTGCGGCTCACGCACCAGCCAGTCGCGCTGCCGCAAAGCATCCTGGGAGAGCAGGGAGAGCGCGGCAGTATCGGCGAGGAACAGTGGCAGCTTGAAATGCTGCGCTAACGCCAGAAACTTCTTCAACGTCTGCTGCAGAGACAAACAGCGGCACAGTTACCATGGTGACAGACAGCTGGAAATGCTCAAATAAACACCTGATTGGGCTGGCTCATGGTGATGCTAACTGGCTAACAGTGATGTTACGCATGCAGGCTAACAGTGATGCTAACAGGCTAATTGTAATGATATCAGGAATGCTAACAGTAATGCTAACAGGCTTGCTACCATTCATGGCATTATTTGCTTATGTTGTGATGGTGTTTTTTCCTGAGGGCTGAACTACGAAGCCAGTTCAACAGATCCAGACTTTCTTTGAGTAGTCGGATCCACATGAACTAAAGCTCCAGCCAGAGATTACAGCTCATTAACAATAGTCAGGAAACGACCTGGTTAAAGGGAGACGCTCCTTCAGCCGATTTAATCTGAAACTCTGAACATAACCTGACCAGGTTAGCTCCACAGCATCAGTTACCATGGAGACCTAGCTCCACAGCATCAGTTACCATGGAGACCTAGCTCCACTGGTCTCAGGTCGTAGTTCAGCTCTCCGAGCTGACCAGTCGGGTCTACTCAGGAGTTTTCTAGTTTCAGTGCTACTACTGTTGAATATTTTCACATTTCAGTTGGCAATCAAATAAGGTTATAAAAACAAGCACTGCGGCTAACAGCAGTGCTAACGTTAGCGCTGACTCACCCATTGGACGTGGCTGGCGCTCAGGTGGCCTGCTGGGTTCAGGATGTGAGGACCGGGCTGCTGCAGAGGAAACAGCAGACGTTTCAAAGCTTTAGCTGATCTGAAACATGGAGACACCCTGATGGCTGTACAACAGTTTGACAGATGTGTCATGGAAACCTGCTCCACAGAACCTCCTGCAGACTAAAACTGAGAATCAGATATCGCCAGTAGAAGAACTGCTGAAGGGAACATTTAACTCTCAGACTGAACTCAGTACAGAACCTCCTCCAGACCAGCACCAGTTACCGTGGTGACCCAGCTGTGCAGCACCAGTTACCGTGGTGACCCAGCTGTGCAGCACCAGTTACCGTGGTGACCCAGCTGTGCAGCACCAGCTACCATAGTGATCAGCAGGTTAGGCAGAGCCTTGTCTGTAAAGATTCCTGCTGCTGGTTTCTGCTCAAACTTCAGGCTTCTCACTGCGCAGCCTCACTGTTGTTGTTGTTGTTGTTTACAGTCCCGCTGCACTGTGACGTGTGTCTCACCTTGCTGACGTATTTGCGGTAGTAGTACAGCTGGAACAGCAGGAACACGGAGCTGCTGACGATCAGCAGCGACAGCACGGCCGTCCGGTTCACGCGAGGCATCCGGTTACCGGGCCCGGGAACGCGCAGCTCATGACGTCTGAACGGAGCTCAGTGCACGAGACGGCGGCCCTCAGTAACCCTCAGAACAGACAGAAAAACCGCGAACCGAAACCCACCGACCTGCACGGGACAGTCGCCATCTTTAAACAGCCTCCTGCTGCTTCTTCTGCTTCCTCTGCTTCTGCCGGTGCATCTCTAGCGCCACCAGCCGGCTGGAGTTCAGTTCAGACTGAATTTAGATGAAGCTAGTTTATCCATCTATTAATTCACATCCTCTCTATTGAACCGGTTCGTCTGAGATCGTGACATGTGACGACGTTGAGCTGATTGAAGCGCAGAAAGCACCTCTGCTGGATGCTGGATGCTGGATGCTGGATGCTGTCATTCAAACGGACAGAATGCTCAGAGGTTGTGGAGGAGCTGCTGTTCAGTCTCTGGTGTGTTAGAGCAGTGAATGGATGATGCCACTGTAACAGGCCAGGACGCCTCTCCTCATGTCTGACAAGGAATCAATGCTCAAAAATAAAAGATATATTTATTGTCCTTGTCATTACTTTCAAAAGTCAAATATCCGAATCCTCAACATGTCAGAGCGCGCTCACTGAGGAGACAAATGGCAGACTGGTCCTCTGGGCAGCAGAAGCTTCAGCAGTACGTCTAAATGTCTGATGTCAATGCAAAGTCTGGAAAAAATAAATGTTTTTAACGTTGTTTTTAAGGTCAAACCAGCCACCCACACTGTAAGCTGTCCATAAAGCAGTACAGATAATACCACAGCGCCACCAAGTGACAGAACAGCAGAACCCAATGAGGATGTTACTCAAACAAATCTAACACCAGTGATTTCAGCAGCTTTCTGCTTCACTTTCAGCTCAGATTGGTCATCTTACTTCCCTTCACTGTTGCTGCAGATGCTGTTTCTCTATTGAATTTACATTTAATCATCATGAGAACTTTTGACGGTGTTGTCCAGTTTTACAGTATTGTCTGATTTGACAAACTCCAGAACAGCTGATCAGTGTTCAGCCTGTACAGGCGCAAGCACCATGGCAACGGGAAACCAAAGGGTCGCCATGGCAACGGGAAACTAAAGCGCTGAACCTCCATTTGAATCCAGTGTAGAAATGTGAACGCACACGCGATCTGGAGAGAAGCGTCGGACTTCATTCCCTTCATGGACGATCAGGTGCTGAATGTGTCTGAATCTTGTGCATCACATACTTCAGCTGACTGACCTACGTCCTGATGGAGACCACACAGCAGCTCAAGACGGGCACATTGATCACACATCTGTTGAGTCACAGCCCTCTAACTCAAAATGAATGAGGATTCATTTTGCATTTGTTTTATTGTAAAAATCTCAGCGAGCAGCATGAATGTCTGTATGGAATATTGTTTTATATACATACAGCGCCTCTACTGAACCGTTTTCAGTGATTCACATCAGTGTTCCCGTCATGTTGCTGTTTTGTTGTCATTTATAATGTTGACATCAGCTTCTCTTCTTTAATTTCTCTGCTTTTTACAATAAAATGTAAGATGTTCTGACAGCAGTGTCTGAAGAAGAGTCCTTTTCTTGTCTGCATGTGTAATGAAGAGGTTACTGTTCACAGATCTGTTTCTGGTTTTAAACAAATCTGTTAAATATTCAGAATACAAACTGT